AGATGGCATACCATACAAATACAACAAAACTTTAACTTTCCAGTAGGATGGCTCAGGCCTCGCCTGGAGTCAGGTAGTAGGCCTAGCCTAGACTAGTAGAGGCTTGGCCTATTTTTAAGTTCTTACTTACAGGGCCTACATTTTTAACAATATTCTACCCTAAAGGCCTAAATCTGTGTAGCAGCTAGTGGTGAGCAAGGTTCCAAGTTTATAGCCTACGGTTATCAGTCCATGTCATTCGCAGCAGGCCAGAACTATTATACTAACTGTTTTAATTCAAGTAGGTAGCCAAAAGGGAGCAGGAGCTTGTTCTAGTCGAGACATCCGCATCTTCAATTTTGAAAATTTACCAAGATTGATTATTAATGATGCATGAAGTCATGCATACGATATCCCACATCAAATTTGATGTGGGAAATTGCACGCATGAATCGTTTGCCCAGGCCCTAATTCGAAAAAAAAAGAAATCGAGTATGGGACGCCAATTAAATTAGGTATGGCGCGCACTAAATGCAATAAAGAGTGAGTAACCTAAAAATTAGGGCCTGGAACCCAGGCTAAGGAACTCCTATGTTTTGTAAAGCTTTTCACATACCAACAGTTGAATTTGTGGAATGGTGAGCAGGTTTCGTGGAATGAGTAGATTCCAAGGAATTAGCAGGATCCATGGGACTCAGTCAAATTCGTGGTGATAAAAGGAGTTTTGATATTTCTAAATAAACATCACATGCAAGGAAAAACCATCAGTCAGAAACTATTTGGATTGCAATCAGTCTAGGCAGTTATTTTAAGAGAGATTGGGTTCCATCGGTGGGGATTTGTTGTTTCATTATTTAAATGTAGGCATTGTTTAGTTATTCACTGAAAATTTGTCTTTAATTGGAGGTGATTTTAAATTGGAGGAGTTTGTAAGTAGAGGGAGACCTGTATCTAAGCAGACAACAAACCGAATCCTAAAATGTTTACTTTGATACGCGTGACGCACCTGGTTTGATCGGTAGTGAGCCTGTTGATTTTGCCGCGTTCACTGCAGCTGTCTGAGCTGAGTTGTCGACTTTAATGGTTACACTATAGCGACCATTTCCTGATATTTCTTGGAAGTAGCCTGAATATACTCCGTCATTTTTGGTGATATCGGCGCTGGCACCATTATCAAGAAGTTTAATTTCTATGACAGTATTAGACGGACCACTAATTATTGCAGTCACGTGCACGTTGATTACAGGTAAATAGCCTTGGGTGACGATTGCGTAGATGACGGGATTCGGGTTTCCTCCTGTGTAGTTTACCGATGGATCACCAACAATTGCGAGAACTTCTATCGGTTCCTCTTCAGAAGATTTCTTCGACTGAACATTCACGGTAACAACATCTGAATATCTGCTACCTACGACCCTAAACTCCCATCTTCCTATCTAAAGAAAAATAAAACATAGTTTAAGGTTCGTTTTCATACCAAATGGTTAAGTTTAAAACCTTTCAACATTCCACACTTATAGTTTATTATAACAGCGTATTTGTATATTATACAATTTATTGATTATTTTCGTAAGTATAAAACAGATAGGCATTTAATACAAGCTTAATAATAACAATTATAATAACAATTATGTTTAAAAACATTATTATTATTGATTCCTTATTACCAGTATTTATACTGCTGTTATTGTCAGTCTTAGCATCAGTATCAACATTAATATCAGTATGTATTAGCATTAATAATGTAAAATTGAAGTTTAACAAAGCAAGTGTGTATTATTTTACTCTTACCATTGCTGTACCGTCTATTCCGATTGTTATAGTCTTCGATGTTACATCAGTGTTGTATAAGGACGGATCAAGAAGTTGTCCATCAGGCATTTTCAAAAATACTTGAATTCTATCATTGTTAATCCAAGAGAAACTGAATATTGTGTCGAGTCCGACAGACGAGTCAATGTAGACACTGCCATTGACGGCACCATATGGTACTATTACCAGGCCCTCGCTGTAAAGCTAATTACATTTACAAAATTTGATTAAATTTAGTCAGAGTCATCGAGATCATCAAAATATAAGTTTGCAGTTTAAGTTAATAAGATTCATTATTTCCAAGTTTCACAAGTCATAAGCTCTTTATTATGGATTTAGCTAATCATAATAATAAAAAAAATAACCAGTTTGCTAATCATAAGTCTACTTCAGCGCCAGCCATAGAATTCCGGAAAAATCGGGAATAGCTAAAAAAAAAATTTTTCCCCTCAAGGTAAAAAAAAACAAACAAAAAACCAAATCCCTCACATTTTCCCTGTCTTTTACAGAAAAAAAAAGAAATAATAATATTAATAATAAATAAATAAATAAGATGCACACACTATTCTTTTTTTGTGGTCTTCTTTCCAAGATAATCTATCCGTATGAAACTAGGCCTACTTAAGGGAATTAAATTTCTCGTGAAAAACATTCGATCATGTGATTAGTATGTCGCCCTCTGGACTTTTGCACACTACTAACTTATGGGATTCGGGTACTATTGTACAAATACAGTAAATAAAAGTAACCTTACATCCTGAAAGTGAAGTTTAGTATATGTTTATTGTGCCGAATGTGTTATTTTAGCCAGGACAATAGCTATTATAATGCTGTTGGAGGGCAAACAAACAATTTGTTAGGCTAAATAAAGAAAGGTTTGCTAATCATAAAATATAGACTGTTAGTCACAATATTTAATAGTCGTAATAAACGTTCGTTTTATCAGTTTTTCTAACTCTTCTAATTCTATCTTTGCAAACCATATAATAAAATTTCTTTGTTTGCATTATGACTAATATACATTGTTCGTGATTATTACTAATACACTTTATAAATACCAATCCTTATCATGACTAGTGAATTGTTTTGTAAATAATATTTTTGATTAGCATTATTGTATTTAGATTAGTTAACCTTAAGAATTGTGAGTTTATAATTTACCACTTTGACTAGATGGATTTGCCTAACAACACTTGTTACGTATCACTTATTTTAACCGTACCACAAACCTAATAAAGCCATTAGTCTGTAAAAGTGAACGAATATTGGGCAATAACCGGAATTTATATTTATAAGTGTTTAATGAAATATATCATTGTGGTTAATATGAATAAACAATACTTAAACTCACTGTTATCGGGAGATCCTGTATACTTAGATCTGGTCTACTCGTGACGGTGGCCGTAAATGCGTCGTTGAGTACTGATATATCCTCTTTTCCGTCGAAATAATAAAATATTCCATCAGAAACATCACTAAGTTTTTTAAGGTCATAATCAGCATGGTCAGTAAATGCAATCGTATCAATAATAACGCCTGCATTTTTGACGTCATCCAGAATACCACTGATACCAGTGGGGTCATTATTTATCCCGTCGCTGATTACAAGAACGTAACTTCCAGCTGGATCTTCTCCACCACGTGATAACACCTTTAATAGATTTCGGTTAATCGTAAAATTAATCGATAAAACATATTCCAATTATGAATAATGCACTCATAATATGAGCCTACTATGAGGAGGCTGTTAGGCTTATCTATTACTATTGTTGCGAATCTAAATACAACATCGAGCTACCTATCTCAACACCTCTTCTGAATCTTAAAGGCCAGCTCCGGTCATACATTTCCTCTTGGTTATATGTTTATATATATATCAATTTCAAGAGATAATACCAAAATCGCGACAAAAAATAACGCAATTTCTCGGAAAATACGAAAACGAAAAATTGAGGCAAATACAGGCATTACAGAATTTCAGTATCTTGGGATTCCGATAGTTCAATGACCCCGCCTAAGTGACCTTTCTGCGAACGATTAGCATAATGAGAAAGTTTGTCACCCCACGTTGGAATTTACTCATCGCGCCTATGTCATTCTCTGTATCATCATAAATAGCATCGCTCTTATCTTAAAATGAAGCATTGTTTGTTTGTTTGATTAAATACATAATGTTGCTCAGGCCTACGCCGCCTATTAAATTTTTAGTTTCAATTGGGCCATTAATTTTTTGTTTTGAAAATAATTCGTAGCTCTATGTGTTCATTGCCTGAAAAGGATGAGATATTTGTCAATATGAGGTTTTATGCTAGGACCTTTTACTAAGCACAGTATTTATTTGAAATCTAGCTGCCAACGTATGCGGCCTAGCCTCGGGCTAGGCTATCCCTAGACTCGGTGTCATCTATCTACCTACCTGTTCCTTATCTCATCTTACGAAACGTTTTCACCAAGAATGTCTTTTTTTTATGCATATACAAGTTCTAAACACATCTTTATCCAAGTATAACTTCTAAAAATTATTTGCATTGATGAGGCAACTATTATTTTACGATTTTTTCATGAAGTCTTCCCCCTCCTTGACAGCAAATACTGCCCTTCACCGTTTTCACGGCCCGGCAATTTCCGCATCGGCACCAATCCAGAGAGGACATTCTCCAGGCTTCTTTTTGTTGCCTTGGCACTTTCATCTACTTGTCTACTTGAATCCCTTTGGGTTTGGATGGGCCAATTGCCTCTGGTTCAAAGGCATATGCTCGCCTTTGCGAAACACGCCTAACCCTTGAGCTTTCATTCCCTCCATGGTTTAACTTATAATTTAAATCAATGCGAAACACGCCTAACCCTTGAGCTTTCACTTCCCTCCATGGATTAACTTATAATTTAAATCAATGTCTATCCTATCTGTAGGCCTGTCCTCATTCTCTCTCGTCCCTAAATTTCAATCGACCCCTCGAGTCGTCGTAGCATCACACCGATCGCACACAGAAAAAAAATTGACTGAAAAAAAATCGCAAGTTCGCGCATGCTCATTAAAAAAAAATCATGTGGGAATTTTTGACAGTTACGAAAGAATACGTTTATTAATTTGAGTAAAAACATCAGAAATTAATGAAATGGGTTAATACACCCAAGAATAGTCTTTTTTTTTTGTAAATTTTTGTGGGACCGTTAATATTTTTCAGATTTTTTAAAAATGCTTCCTTTTTTGACAATTTGTGTGTAAAGGAATAGGAATTTTACTTTGTAATTGAGCTATACCTCCGCTTGGGAATGGGCATTTTTTTTTCAATTAACACTGTATCGCAACCGAATTCGTAAAAATTCTCAAATATAGATAAAAGTAATTTATGTTATGAACTGAATTATAAAATAAATTGAATTTTTCCCCCGGAGCTGGCCTTTAACCTTTTAAAGTCCTTTATGTTCCACAAACAAATATACGTGACATATTGTGACGTAATTGATCCCTTCTCTAAGGCAAGACTGTGTAGATGATGATGACTATTTTAGAGGCTAATGGAATGAAACAATTTCTTTGAATAGTACCGTAATAATGTTAGCGGCTGATAGAATTTAAGGTGTTCTGAATATGGTCTATTTGTTCATCCTTTAATAATGACTGATTATCTGAGCGAGGTTCTTACTTCTCTGAAGCGAAACTGTGTAGATAATTATTAAAACATTTCAGCGGCTGATTGAATGAAACAATTTTTTGAATATATTAGCTGTTAGTGACTGCTAACTTAAAATACTTGTTTTGACATAAGAATATTTTCATCCATTATTGATGACTTTGTTAACTGTTTCTTACTTCGATTCCTTTTAACACACCGGACTCTATGGATGTTCCTCCATTTGCGTATGTTGGTAATAGTGCTACCAGATCCGCACGTGACTGTTCATTAACAATACAGACTAGTTCAGATAAGACGGTGGCAGAATAAGAAAATTCTACAATGCCTACGTAACTGCCCTCGTCAATGGTATGTAACAGGTAGTATGTTGATGCCTGTAAAAGTTGCAGAATACGATCGCCCTAGGATTAAAAAAAAATGTTCACATTGGTTTAGCGTATAAAAACATTATAATTATGGTTATTTCATACGGTACATTCTAGAACGTTAAAGCCGCGCCATTTCGTATTGGCTGTCGATTTTGTAATTTTGTAATTTAAACTTATACTGAACTCAAAACTAAATTATTATACATGATAATCAATTATAACTGAAATATAACTCTAAATGTGATTGAAAAACAAATCTTGTGACAATTTTGTTTAGTTAACTAGTTTGTTTATTTAACAGTTAATAATTACGTTTTTCCTATGGGTTTTGTTTAATCTGGAGCTCGAAGAATATCAAGTGTACGAGATTGAGTGAAAAATCTTTATTTTGCGTTTTATCGTAAATTGTGTAAAATGATTTAACCACATAAAAAAGAAGAAAAAACAAACAAACAAACAGAACATAATCCAAAACCAATCGCTCTTTAAATTCCATGTAATGTTTCAGCTCAAAAATTCTAAATAAAAGAGAAAAAGATAATCTTCTTTTAGATTTCTCTTCACAGGAAAATGCAATACATACCAAAATTGCTTCTACTATTACTGCATTAAGTATATTACATTAAAGTATAACGTTTAAATAAAATCATGGATGTACGTAAAGCAAATTACCGACATACTCCCCGACGTATCTAATACCAAAACCACCCGCCTGTCGGTCGGTTGGACAATACGAAAAGTTGGTGTCGTATCGGTGTCGCTTGCAAGTGGTGGGTTGTTGCCATCCTTAAAGTCGCTTGATTCCAACATGACGTCCCATGAACTTTTGTAATTGCACAGTATGTTGTGTTTATGTGGAGCTTCGACGTCGTGATAACCCAGTGGATCGCTGGGATCACTATGGCAAAATGTATTGACCTTCAATAAGAAATATATTAACAATAAATTTATATCAACAACTGACGAAATTCAATATTATTTCTATATGTACATGAAATCAAAATAATATTAGTTTTAATATCCCTTGGCTTAGTTGTAGGCCTATATCAGGGTCGTTGGAGAGTAGGTATTAGCAGGCTAGTGGTAACAGCGAACAGTTTAATTTTACTTTTCCCTGATGGTACTAAGATAGGACCAGCTGAACTCAATATAGTTAATTATTACTCAGTGAGACAACAAAATGCAAAACTTTACCCAAAACATAACAATAATCAAATAAAAATTTAAAATTGACTGATTGGTTGTCTGCCTGTAAAATGAAGTGTTGAATGACCTAAGCGGCCCTCATAATTTAAGCGAGAGATTATGGGTTATTATAAACATGATAGTAGAAGAATTGGATTTTTTTGAGAATGAAAAAGAAAAGCCTCCATCGGGAATCGAACCGGACCTTTCGTGTAAACGGCAGACGTCTTAAATGTCGAAAATTGAAAACCCCTCGCTTGGATGATTACGTTCTTTTTTTTCACAAAATCGATATCGTTTACGACGACGCAAAATGCTAGCGCATGCATACAAACTACATATTTTTTTTGGGCATGCCGGGCTTACGAAAGGGCCCAATGCCTCGGGCGATGTATATACATTATATATCTTGATAACCTACCGTTTCGATAAATTGCCCGTACATTATTGAAGCTGTTGCCCTTTGACCTGCTGTGTATGGAAAGAAGGCACACTCACTCTGATAAACACCAGTGGCCGGGTCAAGATAACAGTCCTTTTGGGTATCTATATTGATATATTTTCCTTTGATCGCTAGAGAACACCTTGTTGCTTCGACGTTTTGATTTGAATGTGCATAGAATGCTGCTGTTTCGTCAGTCGAATATTCGTCGAATAGGCCCCATTGGAGATGACCCCATTCGTGAACTAACAATTTGTCTGAAATAAAGAAAAAATATTTTAATCAAGTAAATGTTAATCATTTATTTGTAGTATCAATCACTATTATAGAAATTATTATAGGAATTATTATTATTATTATTATTATTATTATTATTATTATTATTATTGTTACTACTACTACTAATAATAATAATTATAATAACAATAATAATAATAACAAAAATATTATTAATAATAATGATGATGATGATGATGATGATGATGATGATGATGATTAAAATAGCTCCTAGGATTTCATCCGCCCTTTGTTCAGCTAATTCTGTTTGCTCGGGACCATTCACCCTTCCACCCAAGGCCACTAACGCCGTAGATGGGGCTGCCAGTTAGTCGGCTGCGATTCGAGTGGAGGCATTTAAACGTCATACCCAGGACATCGTAACTACAATTAAAACTAATCTTAACTACCTAAAACTAACTTAAACTGGAGGTAAAACTACCCCCACCAGTCACTATCCCAGTGTTTCCAAATAAAGGTTTTCATGTGACACTTGAAGAAATTATGTGTGAAACAGCATGCCTGTATGGTTACCTATCCCAATAATAAGATACTGTTAGTAGATTTTACTTACCCATGGGACCCCATATATATTCACTTCTTGTTTTATCGAGCAAGAAACGCGGAGTTAAATGAATGTACTCTCCCTTTTCTCCACATCCACCAAGTTGTTTCGTGTATGGGTTGTCTTCATATCTAGGATTTGGGGTGTCGATGACAACATTAGCCCTGCCGAAACTCTCTGTTTTGACAACTTCGTACTCCGGCCTATGTGCCCACGATTTTGGGACTAAAATTGTGATGTTTTTCCAATAAGCACGGCTGTTGGTAGCTTCAAATAATCTCGAAGACCCACTTGTAAATATTTCCTTTTAGACAAATAATCAACAAAATTATTGAAATTATAAAACCATACAAATAATATGAATACATATGTAGAAATATAGAGAAGTTTATAATGTCAGTCAATCTAAGGTACTTAATGATAAAGTAAGTGTATTTATGCGTAACATTGTTGTATATCGAGGTAACGTTGATATGAGTCAAATCATATAGGGTTATCTAAAGTAATGTAGTGATGAGGGGTTTTATATTTGCATTGCTGACGTAATCCAATCATAGAGTAAGTAGGCTATGCGATGTGTTCAGAGGCCAGTATGCCAAAACAATGTCTGACTGTAATACCGTTTAGCAGAATACAATTTGTATACATAATATAAATGATTCTTCAAATGATTGAGTCACTATAGGAAAATTATTATACTTAATGATGCATGCTCTACTAATCTGTAAATCGACGTCTTTTAATTTTAGTTTTTGATAACAAACTGTTGTAACAGTCATCTCTTGCTATAGTTATACAACCAGTATACTGTGTGCGTATTTACATTTAGCTCTGCGTATGCTGATTTGTGCTCCTGCAGTACACTTTTGTTTTTATAAGAACACATTTTATAAGAACACTGAGGCTGAAATTTGCTTAAAATATAACTAAATAAGAACAAATTGAGGCTGAGGTAAAAATGTCAAATGAGGTTTTTGAAAAACCCCAAAATTATATTTTTACCTTATGTGCAGTAATGTAGGTGTGACAATGTAATACCCCTATAATCAGGTGTACTGTCATTTGCGGCCATTTTTACAAGGCCTTTTTTCTGGGGCATTTTTTCCAGGGCATTGTTTCAGGGCCCATTTTTGCTGTACAATAATAATTTTTTTATGTTTGATAAGTTTGTAAAATAAGAACAAATTTAGAACATTTTGAGCCTGAAATCGGCCAAAAAATATGAGTACTTAGCCTGGGCAAAATTTTTCTGGTTCTTATAAAAAAAACAAAAAGTGTACTACACATCAGCAGTACAGTACGGATACGATGAATACTTAACTTTGTATAAATACCTTGAAATCTAAAAAAAAAATATTGTGAAAAATTTTGTGTGATGAGCCCATAATATGTCCCTGATGATGACGTATTTATTGCACCTAAATAGAGCTTTACAAGGAAGTCAAAATAATGGTTTCCGGTTTATTTCCTTCAATTTATGAATAAATTATAAGGAAAAATATCGAAAAAATACAATTCTGTGGAAAACAACGGCTCGATATCGGTGAGTATGAAGATACAAAATACGCATTAAAATTAAAATGCTCATTGCTCGTAAGCTATAATATGTGAGCTGTCAAGAATGTGCCGCCAGCGACAGCTGCAAGCATTACATACACGTTTTTTTTTACTTCATTGTTTTAAATATCGTTTGCTCTTCCGAGATCAACTATCGTTTTGAAAATATTATCCTAATTAACAATTGTTTTTTTTTATCAGAGATGTTATAGCAGTGAAACAAAAATAAAATAATACCTTTATTCTGTTAATAATTTCTTGGTCGTATGTAACGTTTTTGTTAATAGCAATGAGAACGTTGTTGTACTGGTTATTTTCCAAGGCTACATGATTGCGACTCCATGAACTTGACACTATAACAATACACACATAAAATAAAAATGCCGATGTTAAGAAACGTTTATCCATAATGGCGTTCAAATATGTACCTCTTCCTAACGTGAGCGCACTAACATAATATGGTTACATCCTCTTCGGAACTTTAATTTTACCCCTAAAATTATTCTTTTATAGCATAACGCTTACGGTATCTTCTATTTGTACAGTAAATATCGCAATAGGTCTATTGAAAAATGTTATCACTCTTTTGTATGTGCTCCCTACAGTGTTTTTGTTAACAAACAAGAGACATTGTGATAATTATTTGATAATGACATCACGGTCAATGGAACTTTTTATAGCACTAAAATAATGAACTTAGAATACATTTTGGGTACGATTTTGGGAATTACCCTTTAACGTACATGTTTAGAAATGTATTAACGAATTATTGAGATAAAGTTTTGATATTGTCGATCAATACACCCACTAAGCTCCGCTTCAAGGTTTTTCGGAAATTTGGTGGAATATATTTAATGTTTGCCGACACGATATATAGTATTAGAAACTTCTCCGTAATAATTATCTTACTTACCTTAAGCATGAATAGCAAGGAAGTATGTTGCTTTCTTACCATGAGTTATAACTTTTATGGTGAACGTTTCTCTAAGTGCCGGCTGAGTTTATTATAGACATATTTCCATAGATTATGTCATCATTTGTTACTCACCGTAAATTCACGTAATGGTAAAAGAAGTTGGGAGTATTTTCTTGAAGCCATCAATTCATATTTTGTCCCTAAATATATATTATACACATTTCGGGTTAGTGATTTTATGTATGTTTTTATAAGTACTGAGCTGGGCAAAACCGAAAAAAGTTATAGAAAAATTAGACGCTTATCATTGAAAACACCTAAGATACATTTTAAATGGCTACATGCCATCCACAATGGTGCATTTTATATGATACCCAAGTCAGCACCTCTATCTGAACATGTTTATCAACATTAATATTAAGATGGATTATGTTAGGACAAAATAATAATGTTTGGTTATTACCTATATGAAAGAAAACATCTTTCAGTATATTTTAATATATAAATAAATATTTTCATCATTTCTTGTATTCGAACACTGTATTACCTTTCCTTGTTGATTTATTAATATCTTTCTTATATTATTATATTTATTTATTTTATTTATTTACACACAAGTCAACTGCGAAAACAAAAATCACCACTTACAGGATTGTAAAAAAAAACATGAAACAATACAGACGGGTTACGAAGTAATATATTATTAAAGGTCATTGCACTTACTTTACCAGAAGGGAATACAAGTACTGAAAATAATATAATATAACAAAGGTAATAAATATTTAAAATTAAATATTTAATAAATTACTAGAAAAGGTAACCAGAGGCAAGCCTCTTAAAAACTGTTAATGAATTACTAAAAAAAAAATCCACTTCTGGACAAGCGTTAACAAAAGTAAGAGAGTTCCATAGATATATATTTTTTTAAGTGTTAAAGTATATAAATCTATATTACGTATAGAGTAAGTTTTTATTGTCATTTTGTTAATAATTGTATCGGTTTATTTGTATCAGTTTTATAAGACGAAACAAAGAAAGCAAACAACGAATTGGATATAAATTTTCATTTTATTCAATGACGAGACACTATTTAATATATAGTCAACTCAAAATGTGTAATAATAAAGCCACCCATTGATGTCGTTATATTAGCTAAACATTTTATGGGAATGGGAACATAAAGCTGCCCCTAAAGAATAAATATAAAGAGTATATATAAATATATAAGATAAATATAAAAGACTGTTATATTTGACATACACCAGAAACGTGATCAATACATAAAATACTTTAATGGCGATTACAATATAAATCATACATGAACAGTTGTAAAATAATAATTTAACAAATGAAGCATCACATCAATATAACTAAAAACATATTTAATTACTAACAATCTGGGTGCACGCGCCAAAGACCCGCCTACAAAGAAAGGTCACCACTATGCTCCGCTGGCCCACCACCTAGACAACGGTGAATAGTACAGCGAGTGCCTGCCCAAACGGTACCAGAATGGACATTTTATAAAGTGAACGATTGGATCCGTATGTAACTCTTAACGGCCAAGAAAGACCACAGACCGAAATGTTGAATTGTGTTTTCAGACAGACCGAGAGAAGCACCATTCGTGGCAGCACCAATCAGAGAAGGGCCAAGACCAATAATTTGATCAATAGTATTTAATAAAATTCTGAAAAAAGTGAATATCCAAAAAGTTGGCCACAAGGAATACTGTAGCTGTACCCATACATAAAGTCAACGATCCAGATAACCCAATGAATTATAGTACCATTACATTATTGTCTATATTTAGTAATGTTTTTTTTTTTTATAATTGAAATTAGGATAAGAGAATGCCTATAAGTCATCAGAAGAACAAGCGGTTTTTAGAAAATATTGTAAACTGATAATGCCTTTATACTTGAAACATTAGTAAAAAAAGCTATACTGCAGAAAAAAAGGGGTATATTGTTTTGCGCGTTTATTGACTTTAAACATGCTTTTGATTGCATAGCGAAATCAATTTTATTTTGTAAATTATACGATTTCAATATTCCTCCAAATGTTGTTAAATTAATACAATCTATGTACACACACAACTTAAAATAAAAACACCCCATAGCTTGACAAATAACATAGATTGCCACAGAGGTTTAAAGCAAGGTTGTCTTATCTCCTATTCTTTTTATTCTATTCCTACATAACTGGCAAGAACACTTACTGAAAGAAAATCTTCATTATTGTCCATTTGATAATGATATTATATCACATCTATTGTTTGTCAGATGACTTAGTTTTGTTTTCGTACTCCAGAATCGGTTTACAGAAACAATTAAATTGATTTAAACAATATTGCGATCAAACTAGAAATTAATAAATTCAAAGCTAAAGATATGGTGTTTCGAAATGGAGGAGTGTTAGGAAGAGATAATAAATGGTATATCGATAGGGTTAAGTTTGAAATCGTTAAAGAATATAAATATTAAGGTTTTCATTTTAATTTTAATTAAAAGTGCAGCATCATGTTGAAATTCAGGCAGAAAAGGGGAAACGAGTATTGTTAACGTAAGAAATAAAATGTCAAACTTAGGGTTTATATCCGCAGAAATACAATTACAACTATTTGAAAGACAAGTAATTCCAATCTTTGTACGGTCCTGAACATTGGGGATATAAAGACTGCAAAAATAACATATAAATGTACATATAAAACATTGTAAATTTGTTTTGAATGTCCAACAATCACGTCCAATTGAAGGTGTGATAAATGATTTGGGTAGAATTCCTATCAAATATTATCAAATTTTAAGAATGATAAACTACTGGATAAAAATTAACAAAATGGTATTTGTTACCAAAGACAACGATATTGGGCAGAAAAGGACATATATTGTTGGGCATTCAAAATAAAAAACATATTATATAATTCTAGTTTTAGTTACATGTGGAATAATTTAGTTGATGATAACCTCTTACCTTTTTTTTCACAAAAGAATTTTAGATGTCGCATTTCAAAAAGGAAATGAAATAATAAAAAATAATTCTCGACTTCAGTTTTATAACAATATTATTAGGCCCGAAAATATATGTGAAAAATTATGTTTATAATCTAAATCTGAGATACAGAACAATAATTTCACGTTTTAGGTTATCTTGCCATAATTTGCTGATTGAAAACGGACGACGTATGAATATCGATAGGGAAATTAGAATCTGTTTATTTTGCGACTGTAGAAAATAAAATTCATTTCCTTTTTGTTTGTCTATTTAACAAACACATTAGAAAGAAAGTAAGGAAGTGGTATTCAGGATTAATTCTCAGTACATGGCCAATCCACTTCCATCATCTTGCTTTTACGTCCTCACTAATTTTTTACTTTTGTACGTTAGTCATGGCTGATGGCTATCTGATTTTTAAAACTATTTTTAGTCATTTGAATTGGAATACGTCAAGTTTCTTTATAAGCCCCCTTATTTATTTTCCATGTTTCGCATCCATAAAGTAGTATAGGATTTGACTAGAGTATTGAAGCACCTAATTTTGGTTTTCAGTAGGTATTTGGTGGACATATTTGTTTCAGCTTTATAAATGACTTATTGCTTTTCTGATTTTAATTTTGATGTATTCGCAGCCGCCTCCTTGTTCGCTAATAGCGGCACTAAGTTATGCGTACGTATTTATTGACCTCATTTTGTTAATGTTCCTCAATCTTTATTCTATTGTCGTTGCAATTTATCCTCTTATTTATCCTAAGCCCTGTTTTTTGCTGCAAATTCGTTTAGTTTTGTTGTCTTTGTCTGCATTTGTCGAACACTAGATGATATAAACGCGAAGTCTAAATCCTCAAGTTTTGATGTAAGCTTCCATCATATCCCTATTTTGTTACCATAATTTGTCTTCCTCATTATCCAATCGGCACGATCAAGAATATGAAGTCGGACATTACATCACATTACATCACCTTGCTTTACTCCTGATTTGACTTTAAACCATTCCGATTCGACTCCATCATCTAACAACGCACATTTACTGTTTCATATATTTTCTGAATCAGCTTTTTTGTTCGGTATTCCATAGCTCCTTAAGATACTCCAAAGGCACTCTCTGTGCATCGAGTCAAAGTCTTTTTCGAAATGGACAAAAGTTATATATATAAAATTCCACAGGATGATCATCAATATTTCATATAACGAATCAGGAGTGGCGCCAGGATTTACCCGACGGGGAGGGGACCGAGGTCCCCGACAGGGGGGGGGGGAGCGTACCCCAGACGAGGTGTCAGATTTCCCCGATGAAAGCAAAGTGGCAATTTCGACAATTTAGGGGTTTCAAAGGCTTATTTAATCGATTTTAGAGTCTACTAATATGTAAAAAATACATATAATATTTTTTTCTCCTTGACGAATTGTGCTTTTTCTTCACGACCCCCGGCCCTCTGCTGGTGCCACCTCTGTAACGAATAATAATATGTTCTACTGTGCTGTTGCCTTTTCCAAATGCAGCTTGGGCCCCGCTCACCACTGGCGCCACTCCTACCGGATAATTAGCTTTGGCTATATCATAATGCTGCTTTAGAAATTAATATTCTTACATTTAAAAAATAAGGACTAGAATAGTTTTAAATTAGCTAAATCTAAATTAAAATCTAGCATGAAAATGCTAAACAGAAATTTAAGAGCAAAATTAAGCAACATTTTGTAGAGAAACTTTGAATGATCTAAAATTATTAATTGGGTGTAAGACTAAAGCCGGTTACTCACTGCGTGCGGCGGCGACGCAAAAGCAACGCGACGAAGGAACACACTCGAATCGTCTTTTTAATGAGGATCCGTTCCGATTGCCACTGACAATCAGCAGACGGCGTTGCGTCGTCTATCACTCGCCGGATGCAAATGTGGATTCGTCGTGCGACAGTCGTATGAAGCAGTGAGTGTCCGTGTTAAAACCTCGTGTAAAATGCTTTCAGGTTTAAATGATGAAAGCTTAGCCTCATCACTAAATAATTTCTGTACTTGGTTTGACAATAGAAACAATAGGGAAGCAGCCGGACCAGATGGATCTGCAGGCATAATTTTCCGGGAATGTACAACAGGAATTGCTCCTGTTTTTCAATAAATTAAGTTGTCGCTCCGCGTATGTGTTATTCCTTTTATTTTTAATCATAATCTGATCATGAAACGCCTAGAGAGGCTCGTAATAAATAAAATAAAACTGATTATAAAACCTAAAACTTGGCCCCATACAGGGCGCATTGTGGTGTGAAAGGCGCTACAACAACTCTTTTCCACTACATCAAAAAAACATCTAAGAAACATTTAATGCATTTGGTTTGTCCTCTAGTTCACTAAGACTGTACTGTACAATAAAAGGTCATCAACGACTTCATTATTTGTCACGTCAATTTAATATTGATAAAAAAACCATTCTATATGTGATTTCATTTTGTCGGATTACATGGGAGCTACCTCATTTTATGAGAAATGTAAGAAATTGTTAGCGGAGATCACTAAAAGTACAATTGGATGTACAATAAGTACACATTTTCCATCCCATATCTATATTCAGTCTATCTACTCGTAATAAACGCTAAAACAAATCATTAGTCCCACAATATTGCTACTTGCAACAAATATGTTACAAAATATTTTTTGTTACCCATGTAATGAACACCTAGATCACATCAAATCTAAATTTTTAAATAAATTCTGAAATTGTTACCTTATTCAACATTAAAAAAAAAAATAATTATATATATTGTATTTTTTTAACCTTTCATAATATTTTTAATTTTCTATCTTATATATGTTGCAATGTATAGACAAAGATTTTCTGATGTATTAAAAAAAATTATATTGGACAAATGAATATTGATTAAATTGAAAAATTGTCAATCAGCCCGGCATGTTTATTCTGGATTCCGTAACTATAAATAACGCCTTGTAAATCACCAATGGTCTGTACTTATGCCATTACATTTTATTGTATATGTTAATGATTTGACAAAAATGTCAGTGATAAATTACAAGTGATATCCTTGGCTGATGATACAACTTTATTCTATTCAACTTCTAACATTGATTTATCATTTTTATTTTATTTTATTTTTTATTTCATTTTAATTCACATTCGACAGCGGGGAGCCCGCCACTTACAGAATGGAATACATAAAACACAATAAACACCGTACGGAAAACATCATGAACACTTATACAAGACATTTCTAAATTTTTTTAAAAATTTAGTACATTTAATGATGATTTATCAACATTTTGTGACTTGTTCATTTAAAATAATTTTCTTCTTAATACACTAAAAACAAATTATTTAATTTTTTTCACAATTCTCAACGAAAGCTAACAACTTCGACATATTTATTGACGGAAATACAATTGTACGTACAATTAAAACACTTTCTTCGGAGTTGACATTCATGATCGTCATCTGAGATGGACTATCATCAAAATTACAATCCAAAAAAAGTATTTAAATCTATGGGTATTATAAATACAATTAGACACTTCTTCCCTTTTAATATTTCTTTATAAAACACTTATCCTAGCTTATTTCCAATAATGTTCTTCATTTGGGCTGCAGACGTATTGGTATTTTATTAAAATTAATGGATATCGATAATGATTAAGTTGCTAGTTTTATATTTAAATATTTAAATAAAAAGAAAAAACAACTTCTTAATTCTATGATTTATATGCACGTAAAAAATCTTACAATTATATTTTTAATGTTCGTTGTATTAGAGTTACAAAAACTATTTGTTTATAACTATTTTTGGTCAAACTACTGGAATATTATTCCTTCAGACATATACACTTTCTTATCATTGTTAATTGTGCTTAATTCTGAAGAGTGTCTTGCTTGTTTTCAAATGAATACACTTAAACCACAGATAATCGTAAGGCATCCTTAGCATTAGGCTGTAGTTGGGCATGTTCAGAGATATGAACGCTTCTGACCATAATAAGCTCCGGGATCCTTCTGACCCAAAGGATGACTATGTGTCAGACTTTCATTTTGGGTTACAAAAAGCTAATCTTCTCAATCAAACGCAATAATTTAAATGTATATTGTGTAGCATAATGGTAAATATTGGCTTTCAATGATGTGTTAATGGTCCCGTCAATGACGTCATGTGTCGTCCGAAGAAGACAGCTACTACAGGAGTTACGTCAAACTCAGGTATCATGAATTATGACGTCTGGATCATTTTCTTTATTCTGGCTATCCGGGTTGTCTTCGACCTTGTTTTTGACCTTGTTTTTCTTTTTACAACAACAAATAAGAATAACAAATACAATTATGAGTAAAACGACACCGAGTGTCACCCAAAGAATTGTTTTCTTTTCATCTTCTTCAACAGGAATTGGGGGAATATATTCCATGTTAGCAGATACAATGTTGGAAACATCTCCATAATTTCCTGATTCGTCATGGGCGCGAATGGCAAAAAAATATGTTAAATTTTGTCCGCTTACTGACACTTTTACTGTTATCTTTTCGACAACACCGGCTGGATTGACAATTTCTATGTTTCCTTGAATGACGTCAGCGTTTGTAATTTCACTTGCATGTACGAAATTTCTCTGAAGTTCGGAGAAGCTTTTTGATATTTTAAGTTCATATCTTGATGCTGCAACAACATATAAATTTTCTATTAGTATATAAAACTATAGTTTATAGTATACATACATACATACACACATA